ATTTTTTGGTTGCAGCCGTCATTGTTGTTTGGCGGGTCCGGGCTGGGGATTCGAACCCGCCACCTTAGGTGTACGTGGCTGGCGCCCTAGCCGGTTGAGCTATAGGCGCCGAGCCCCAATTAAGAATTTTTACAAGAAATCCTACCTCATAGTTGAGAAGACTGAGTGTCCTAATCGCTGGGACTTCATTTTGTAGATCAGATGAAAGGCCGTAAATCAGAGACTAAATACCTTCCCCACGCCCTTATAGGAAGTTACTAGCAGAGTTGGTACTAGAATACAACTACTTGAATATACAGACCCAAGTTTATTCTAGTATATCAAGTAATTAATAAGGACTACAGTTATTTTTTTACATTTTTAAATTGAGGTATATATATAATATAGCACACAGATCTTAAGTGTAGGACTTAATAAATTTTGAAAAATGTTTACAACCATGCAACCAACACTCCAAATAAAACACAGAATGTTTCCATCATTAGAGTCCTTTTGTGCTTCTTTCCATTCACCCATGTTCCCCCCACATCCCCCACCAGGGACAATCACTGCTTTGATTTCTATCCCCTTTGATTCCTTTTGGGGAGGCTACAATTTTAAGAAATAAAAATTGAAATCACATGACTTTGCCTACAGCCCTGGAATGTCTCTGCAGAATTTCCCTCCTACTTTTGGACCATAGAGTAGTACTTAAGATTTGCTTTGTGCTGTGAGTGGCCTTTCTATTAAATAAAAAAAATTTAAAAAAAGACAGATTTGTTTTGGATTCATCTAAACAGCCTTACAGGAAGCCAGTATAGACACATTTAGACATTTAGGTGTAAAAGGATTCATGTTCCTAGGATGTGAAGGCCAAAAATGATTCCTCCATATGGGGTATAAAAGCTCTTCTTTTTAGAAAATGAAGGTGCTTTCTCTGAAACATCTGTTGTTGAACTGAAGGTGCAGGGAATGGGCTCTGTGATCCTGCTCTGTTGTCAGTTTGGTTTCACCTCTCCTCTCCCATGGAAACACTGCTGGGTTTCAATGTGCTTTTCATTCTCTTGGCTGCCTGAGCAAACAGTCATCACTGTTTCCATTGTGAGCTCTTCCCCTTCGGTATCCAACCATTCCTCGGGGCTGCTGCCTATGGAAGGAATTGCTTGAACATAAAAAGCTATACAGTCAAACCTCTATAGGTTGACTACTCAGGGACTGTAACAAACTGGTCAGCATACAGAGGTGGTCAACATAAGGAACTAGGCCTGCTGGAATGATACGTACATGTGGAACACGTCCAGTCTAGGAAAATTAGGTCAGCTTAAGGAAGTGGTCAGCTATGGAGGTTCTACTGTATATATTATCTTTCCAGTTGAAAGCTGTTTCCTAGTTTCAATAACCTTCTTAATGTAGGGGATTCATTCTAACAGCTTACGTGGCTTTCCTAGACACCATCACAGGAGGGGTATGGCAGTTGAAAAGATATTACTGTCCTAAGCCATTTAACTAACCAAGAAGGGGGCTGAGTTTTAGAAGCTAGAAAACTCTGGCTAAGGCTTTCTCAGAACATTGTCTTAAAGCCATAAAAATGTTGCTAAGGTCCAGGTGGAGGCAGTTTTTCACCAGCCACAGAAACTACCAGGTCAGACAGGGCCTGCATTTCTTCCAACTAGAGGCCCTGGCAGCCAGGCTAGGTCATTTTCTCCAAAGCAGCTCATTTCCCCAGACAGTGAGCTCATGCTTGGCACTAAGGAACTCCAAAACACAAGGCATTTATCTCCATGCTTTTGAGACAGAAATGACTACACAAAATAGACACATAAAATTATTTAAATCCCACCAAGTTTTAAAAAATTACAAAAATACAAATTATGGAGTCATTAATATTGGAACCCACTTTTGAACACAGAATAAGCAGCAATGCTGAAGGTGTAAACTTCCCCCAAAGAGCCAAATGCCAGAATATATTTTAATAAAGAGGGAATTCTGTGGAATTATGGGCAGAACTGCTTAAAGCATATTGTGAGATTCCCTCTTCCCTATACACTATACCACATCACTTCTGAGTGTGTTCTAGCATTTCCACAATTTTTTTTTTTTTTTGAGACAGCGTCTCACTTTGTCCTGGGTAGAGTACTGTGCTGTCATAGCTCACAGCAACCTCAAGCTCTTGGGTTCAAGTGATCCTCTTGCCTCAGCTTTCCAAGTAGCTGGGACTACAGGTGCTTACTACCATGCCTGGCTACTTTATACCCTGTCTCACTCTTGCTCAGGCTGGTCTCAAACTCCTGAGCTCAAGCAATCCACTTGCCTCAGCCTCCCAGAGTGTTAGGATTACAGGCATGAGCCACTACAGTCAGCCTGTATTTCTATAGCTTAAAAGAAAGAAACAAGTTTCCATTAATTTTTAACAATTTATTTTTTAAAATAGGCACTATATTAACATGGTTCAACATTTTAAAAATAACAAAATATAAAGGTTAATAGGTCTCCCTCCCGTACCTGAGCCCCCAGCCACTCTCTCTCCTCCACACAGGCCCTGTTGGATGACTGGTTTCTTATGTATCTACTCAGAGATGTTTTAGCACATCTAATTAAAAATTTTTATAGAAATGGCATTGTTGGCTCGGCGCCTATAGCTCAACCGGCTAAGGCGCCAGCCACGTACACCTAAGGTGGCGGGTTCGAATCCCCAGCCCGGACCC